AGTTTTCTGAATCTTTACCATGTGATCTCTGAAAGAGGGAAAAGAACTTTCCTAACACAGGATCCATTTTCCACAGGGCAGCTGTTAGTACTGCTGTGTTGCATTTGGGGAAATAGCCCGATTCTCATACAAACATGAAGTGTCCATTTCCATTTTCTCTCATAACAACAAAAATATTTAAGCAGTAGGAAAACCTTATCAGTACAAGGAAACAGAAATAGGATGCTAGCCTTACACTATCCAACACAGTGGTCGACCCATATGTGACTTGCATATTTGGAATGTGGCCAGACTAAACTGAGATGTGTGCTAAGTGTAAAGTACACACTGCATACTGAAGGTTCAGTACAAAAGATGGAAAGTATCTCTTTAGTATTTCTATATTGATTGCATATTAAAATGATAATACTTTGGATATATTGAGATAAATATGAGGGTTTTCAAAAATTGTGGCAAAATGAAATTAAAAGATGAATTTATTTTGGTGCAAAAGTTTTTTGAAATCCCTGCTTAAATTTTTTCATAATACACATTTTACGTGAATTTTTTGAAGAGCCCTCTTATAAATGGATTTCAAAAAATTCTGTGCCAAAATAAACTCATACTTAATTCCACTTTTCTACAAACTTTTTGAAATATGGTCATACATGATTAAAATTATTTTCACCTTTTTTCTTTACTTTTTTCTTAATGAATTACCTATGTGACCTGCATCTGTGGCTCACACTACATTTCTATTGGACACTGCTGCTTGTCTGTGAAATGCATGGCTGTTATATTCTACAGATGGCTACTAATGGCTTTATCCAGGCAGAAGTTTTAGTAAAAATGAATGTTTAAGATAAACGTCTTAAAATGTAATGAGTACCCTAGTTAACTATGTGCTAATTTATTGGGGAGCAGTTAGCACATAGTTAAGACCCATTCATTAATCAAGTTATGCTAGAACACGTTTGTTCACTCGGATATATCTAATAGATAAATGTTGGATTTTATTTCATATATGATATTGACTGTCTCTTTCATTGCTTGTGCGCGTGCACACACACACACACAGAGAAATTATTTCCTAGTAGAATTAAAAACAAAAAAGCAAAGAGAAAGCACACACACAGTCCTTGGAAACCACTTTCATAGCTCTGGATAGTTGTACCTCGTTTAGCTTTCTCCCTCATGTCTTCTTCCTTGGTATTGTGCAGGTAGGAGAAAGGCAAGCAGAGAGGGCTGTCTGCTCTTTTAATGCGTACTACTTGCCAAACCCCTCCTTTGCCCAGAACAAAAATAGAGATGATTTAGTTTTCAATGCAAATGTTTCAAATTCGGTTCAGAGGGAGAAATACCAGGGGCAGAAAGGCAAAAGAAGATGTAGGGAATTCTGTAGCTAAGGGACTTTGCCATTTGTGAAGAAGTCTAGGTGGAAATGATAAGATTCAATATTTTAAGAAAACACAAATATATTTTTAAAACTCTAAAGGCATCATCCATCAGGCCTCAATTCATTAGCACTTTTAATTAAAGAAACAAGGAGAGAGATCACACTTCCAGCAAGATTTATGATAATGGTAGAGGCCTATACATTTAATGCAGCATCAACTTTCTGGTTGTTTTTTACAACAGTAAAAATAAAAATGCCCAGGTTTATTTATGGAGAGAAAGGATAAATGCAGCCACCATCACATTCTTATGCACAGCCACACTCATAGAGGGTTGTCCCGGACTTGTGATCTGACTACAAAATAGGTCCAATTCCTGTGGCTGCTGACCTTGATGTCGATCCTTCTGTCCACAGGGAAGTCCAGGTTTATTGAGCCTGGAGCTCTTAGCCAAGAACAGACATGGACAGAAGAGGTAAGGAGAACACCTACCCGCCCCCCAGGAGAAAGGAGGTCACATGATTAAGCAGACACGGGAAAAAACATATGAGAATGAACTGCTTAAAGAGAAGAAGGAGAGAAAGTTGATGAATTGGGGGTGCTCTGGGATTAGAGGTCCCAGGAAACAATAAAACCCATGGGTATACTCAGCTGGTACTTAGCAGAATTAAATATGCTTATACTTTGGGATGTGCATTTCCTTGCCTTCTCACTTGCCCTCTTTGCAAAGTTTTCGATGCACACTCATAGATGCAGCAGATAAAGGCTCAAGTAGCTGGATCCCTGCCATTCACATGGGAGACCTGGGTTTTGTTTCTGGTTTCTGGCTTCAGCCTGGTGCAGCCCTAGTTGTTGGGGGTATTTGGGTAAATGAAGCAGTGGATAAGAGATCTCTTTTTCTCTCTCTGCCTTTTCAAATAAATAAAATAAATATATTTAAAAAAATAATTCTGTAATTAAACCAGCCCTGGTAAATCAGAATCTGAGACACACATGTCTTAGTCAAGACTGGTGGTAGAATATTAAAAATTTGCAATTGGTTTTACCCATTTTTAGCCAGACCCCAAGCACTGCATCCACATATGGAGATTCCATTTGGTTGAAAAGTTTACTGGAAGTCATAACTGATCAGGATTCTCTATGCACACAGTAGGTACTTAAAATATAGTACTCCTTTTAAATATATAAAGGGACTACATCTTACTCTTTTATATCCATTTTATCATTGACAACCCTGTGAAGGGGGTAGGGTGCTGCTACTGATGACAATGATGATGGTGGTGGTGACCCATGAAGTTGCAGAACAAGGCTTTCAGATTTCTAACACAGGGCTCCTTGCATTGCTAATATTTTTCCTTTTAATTGTGTGTTTTCTTAATACAGTTACAAATCACAAATCCCTTTTTCCACTGAAGTTACTTGTATTTGCTCTTTACAGATATTGAAATAATTTGAGAACTACCTTGATAAAAATCTTGGTGTGTCAAAAAAAGTTAAAGAAAGTTGCCAGTGGGGCTGGTGCCATGGCGCACTAGGTTAATCCTCCACCTGTGGCGCCAGCATCCCATATGGGTGCCGGGGTCTAGTCCCGGTTGCTCCTCTTCCAGTCCAGCTCTCTGCTGTGGCCTGGGATAGCAGTGGAGGATGGCCCAAGTGCTTGGGCCCCAGCACCCACGTGGGAGACCAGGAGGAATCACCTGGCTCCTGGCTTCGGATAGGCGCAGCTTCGGCCGTTGCGGCCATTTGGGGAGTGAACCAACAGAAGGAAGACCTTTCTGTCTCTCCCTCTCACTGTCTGTAAACTCTACCTGTAAAATAAATAAATAAATAAATAAATAAAAGTTGCCAGTGCATGACCTCTCTTTTAGCATAGGCCATGGAAATGACTGTTTTCCTAGTTATCAGTAAGTGAATGTTGTTATCTTAATAGCACACTCAACTTCCTGAAGAAGTATAGGGAAAATAATATGCTGTCAAACCTGTTTTTCTAAGATAGCATTTTAACAAGAAAAGTAAAGACTTTTGACTGAAATAGGATTGAGTAAAATAAATATTACTAATATTTTGGGGAAATTTGGAAGAAAAGGTATGTAATTGTGTTAATGAAATAAAATACGCAAAATGTCCTTTTGCAAAATATAATGTGTGATTAAGTGACTTTTTCAATGTAACCTCATCATTTCTATTACCTTCAGGGTTTATACTTGTGCCACATATAGTAAATAATATTAAAAATATGTTGGTGAAAATGTCCCCGTAGCCTATAAGAGGCAACATGCCTATGTACTACATTAAGAATGTTACTTGGGGCAGGTATTTGATACAGCTTTTTAGATGCTACTTGGGATGCCTACATCCATATTGGAGAGCCTGGGTTCTCAAGTCCCAGCCCTGCTTCTAATTTCATATTCCTGCTAATGCACATCCTGGGAGGCAGCAATGATGGCTCAAGTACTTGGGTCCTTATCATCCACATGGAGGACCTGGATTGAGTTCTTCGCTCCTGGCTTCAGCTTAGCCCAGCTCTAGCTATGGCAGGCATTTGGGGAGTGAACCAGCAGATGGAAGATTGCTCTCTCTGTATCTCTCTGACTTTCAAATAAAATAAATTTTTTTTCAAAAAAGAATGTTACTACATAGAAAAAGACAACGTGAGTAAATAAGAAGTGGCATTCCAATTTCCCACAATAAAATATAAGGGTCTTTTTGCCTCCTTAATGAGGAAAATAGAAGAGTCCCTTCCCAAATCAATTATTCTGTTCTTCCAGGAATAAGAAAAGCTTCAACATGTTGAAGCACTAACAATCCTACTCTTCTTTCTACCTTACTGAGATATCATTTCATAAAGACAACACCAAAACATGGCTTTTGCTTGAATTTGATACCAAAAAGGGCTGCCCCCTCACCATGGTCAGCACAATGTGTTAGTCACCTCACCAGATCTTAAAAGGCCAGGTAAACAGGGAAGAGGTTCAGTTTCTCTAAAATTTCTAGCAATAGAACTGATATGATGAGCTAGGGTTTCACTTCTTAATGTTTTTGGTGTTTAGTTTCAAGGATGAATGGTGGAAGAATCAGCAAACAGAAACAGAAGGTAACTTTGAGGGAAGGTTCATTGTTATCTCCCCAACTTCCAGTGTAGAATCCCGAATAAATAAAGTTGGAAAGTGAAACCATGAGTTTGAATCCTTGTTCTGCCCTTTAGCAGCTGTGAGACTTTACAGCAAAAACAAACAAACAAACAAACAAACAAAATCTAACAAACCTCAAGGGGACATGGAATGATGAAAAAATAAAAGGATGTGTCCCATAGGCCCTGATATTGGAATGGTTATTATCTTCAGTCTACATGAGCTATATGAAATGAAGTTAAAATGAGATGCTGAAAAGCAGGCATTACTATCGTGTCAAAAGGAGACCACTTTGCATCTTGCCTTATGGTCTGGCACAAGGTACTTGCCTATTCATTAAGGAACTTATGGAACCCAATTTTGGGAGCCATTTGAAACCTGCTATTTATGTAGTGTTTCCCCAAAGTGAGTGTTTTCACAGATGAACAAATGAGGCCAATTTTATATGATTACATCTGAGGATGTAAAAAAATGGAACAATAAGCTTGAAAAAGTCTCATAGTTTAAAAAAAGAATTATGTTGCAGTTGTTTTAATGAGTGAAAACATACACAGAGCCATAAAACACACAGAGTTCTTACTGTTTGGGGGTCAGATTCTTTTAGGATCTTATGAATGCAAGAGATTCTCTACACCAAAAAATGAGTGTACACACACACACACGCCAACATACACATAAATATTTTAGGCAACAGAGTATTCCCTAACACTTCCAAAAGTCTACCTATGATTCAAGTTAGGAACTACTGAACTATCAACAATTGCTAGAAGTTTACATGAGGACAGATGGTACACAAATATACTTGTATACACATATGTGCATATATACACATATATACATATATCTTCAAATATTTAATAACTATTTAAATAACTAAGTCTTATGCAGTATGAAATTTACAATGACCAAATTATAAGAAAGGGGTAGACTCACGTTCTGCACATTTAAGTGACAGATGCTCCTGTAGTAGTTCTGCAACTCACTATTTAATTGAAGCAGCTTCACAATTTCTATGTGTTTACTGCAGGACTGTATATGATATGATAATTTGACTCAATGGGTATTGTAGCCAATTTCTAGCAGACTTTGGAAGGTACGGTGACTAGCCAGGTTGTTCCCTCATCTCTTAATCTAATAATACTAAAATACTGAGCAATGTTCTTTCCACAAACAGTGGTGCTTCTCCCAGCCTGTTTCTGCCTGTCCTAGGGGACACAGTATTCCATCAAAGACAGAAATGACACATCTTTGTAGTGGTTACCCTGATGTCTGAGATGAGTGATTTTTACCAATAGTATATTTTACAGTTCTGCTAATAGCTTCATACTGATTATGTATATAAATGCATTTTTAAAAATAAATTACTAACAACAGACGATACACAGCTCACACTTCAAACTGAGAAAAACACTGGACAGCAAAACTTGTGACAGTATTTGCTAGCATATGAGTTTTGCTGTTCTAATTGAGCATTAGGAAAGGAAAAGGAACCAGGAAGAGATGTTCTGAGGCCTAAGGAAACTTTTGAATTTCAATGTATAAGTTATGACATGATTTCTTTAAAGAGCCCAGGGTAATGATTAAAAAAAGAGACTGATATGCAAATATCTTCATTCAGTAAACATCATGAATTTCAGTAAGTAAAGGCATAGGACAACTAAGAGTTTTCTTTTATGTCCTTCAACAACCTGACACTTCATCCCTACTTGCAGCTTTCAACTGGGCAATGACTTTAGTTTTTAATTGTCTTTTTTTTCCCTGAATTTAGGGGTGGAGGGTACCCACAATGGTCAAATACTTTCCAAATGTGAAGGTATTAGCATTTTATTGCCCTACTCCACATTTCAGTTTTATTTTCTATATCATAACTGAAAATAGATATTTCTCTTTCCTGTTTTCCTTTGATCCCTGGTTTCACATCTATTCCCTGAAATACTAAATCTCTATGGTTTTAGATGTGCAGCAGCATCTTCGTTTTGCAGATTGTCTCTTGAGTTTGGTATCACTGCCTTCACCTGCCTTCTCCCCTCCTTCTGGTGGCAATGTTAAGGCTCATGGTTGTGATACCATTAAATGTGGCTTATGTGGAAACTGCCTTGGGTAGGCTCAGGAAATCTCAGGGGACCTCAGCAAGCCCACAGTGGAAGATGGACCCTTCTAAACAAAGACGCTGAAGAGAGGGAATTCAGCCTGATTGGGCTGCAGCAGATCGATGAGAAAGCACACGGTCCCGGAGAAGCCTTCATACAAGCTGTAGATGCTTTCAAGGACCCGAGAACCGGCCTTGAATTCCTCAGTAAATAAGAACTGAGCAAACCTAAAAGAAGAAAACATAAAAAATTTTAGCTTGAGTGTTTCCATATAATTGACCATGGGTCCATATTTCCATTTCTGCTGAATTAAATGTCTAGCATTATTTTATTCCCAGAATTATGTAATTATTTTAAGACTTTTTCTATGGGGCTGGCCCTGTGATGCAGTAGGTTAATCCTCCATCTGTGGCTCCAGCATCCCGTATGGGCGCCGGTTCTTGTCCCAGCTGCCCCTCTTCCAATCCAGCTCTCTGCTGTGGCCTGGGAAAGCAGTAGAAGATGGCCCAGGTCCTTGAGCCCCTGCACCCATATGGAAGACCAGGAGGAAGCACCTGGCTCCTAGCTTCGGATCGGCACAGCTCCGGCTGTTGCAGCCATCTGGGGAGTGAATCAACGGAAGGAAGACCTTTCTCTGTGTCTCTTCCTCTCACTGTCTGTAACTCTACCTCTCAAATAAATAAATAAAATCTTTTAAAAAAAGACTTTTTCTCTGTTAAAAAAGGAACTATTATATAATTGTGTATGTTTCGCAATAAATCATGCTGGCAAGATAATCCAGAGTTTGCAAAGCAAAGCAGATTGGTGTTTTCTGAGGATTTGATTCCTCTATCATCTAATAATTAAAAGAAAAAAATGACAAATCACTCTACTTTTATTTATCTTGAATAGAATTAAACTGATATATCACTTTTCCTTTTTTTAAAAAGTAAATATGCCATGTTTTTGCAGGCGTATTATTTCTAATCTGGGTTTCATTTGTATGTGACAAAGAGCAGAGACTGAAAATAAATAGCCACGATTTTATACAATCTGTGCTTTGAACAAACAAAGGAAGAAGATGAATGGGAAAAGGCAAGCAACCTTTTATAACAATGACATCAAATAGCAAATTCAGCTCCATGACAGATTATTTTTTAAGACATCACCTTAAAAATAAATTACTGACCTCTAAATTCTCTAAGAAAGACCTTTTTCATTTACTCATATTTGCCACAAATCCTATTCACATTATTTGTAATGGGTAACATTTGTATAATATTTTATAGCCTTTAAAATGTTATCACCTAAGTCATCTTTTTACTGACTTGCTCTACTTGTTTTAATCAACAACAAAAATAATCAATAATTCAGAGATCACAGCTTCTTGAGTACCCATGAAAGCATGTCGGACAGCGCACAGTGTACAGTGAGAGAGAGAGAGAGAGACAGAGAGAAAGGTCTTCCTTTGCCGTTGGTTCACTCTCCAATGGCCGCCGCGGCCAGCGCGCTGCGGCCGGCGCACCGCGCTGATCCGATGGCAGGAGCCAGGAGCTTTTTCCTGGTCTCCCATGGGGTGCAGGGCCCAAGCACCTGGGCCATCCTCCACTGCACTCCCGGGCCACAGCAGAGAGCTGGCCTGGAAGAGGGGCAACCGGGACAGAATCCGGCGCCCTGACCGGGACTAGAACCTGGTGTGCCGGCGCCGCTAGGCGGAGGATTAGCCTAGTGAGCAGCGGCGCCGGCTCGATCACAGCTTCTTAAGGCCCAAGAGCTGATACTACCATAAATTTAGATTATTGGTACTACATAGGGGGTCTGTTGAACAATAATTACCTATTTGATCTTTTAGGGTGTCTGAGATTATTGGTGGTAGCTTAGAATATATCAGCAGGAAACATATTGTAATTTTGTTTGGTACAATTTTTCTTACAATTCTTTTCCTGAACATGCAACAATTTAAAATGGAATTTTGAAATTTTAAACAGAAGAATGGTGCATCTTAAGAATTAATTCAAGATTTATAATTATATAATTAAGTCAGTATCATAGTATAGCTTCAGAAGGGGGTCTTTTTAGTCCCCATGCATCATTTGCAGATGGGATTCCTTCTCAAAAAAAAAAAAAAAAGAAGAAGAAGAAGAAGAAGAAGAAGTTTCATGTGCATAAAGTAAAATACTCAGTATTACAAAGGAAGTTAACTTCATTAAAACACAGTAAGCAAATGTTTAAACCAAATTTATATTATAATAACATATATGTCCCTTACTAACACATTAAATGAAAAAATATATTAGTGGATCAAATAACTCCTGATATGCCTAAGTAGTGATGGGACTAAATATTTTACAATATCTCCAACAACAGTAATATGACATGAGAATATCTATTGCTTTTATCAGTTGCAGAGTCACAGTTACTGTTAATACTTATTGAGTTGGGGCCAGCGCTGTGGCACAGCGGGTAGAACTGCTGCCTGCAGTGCCGGCATCCCATATGGGCACTGGTTCTAGTCCCGGCTGCTCCACTTCCAATCCTGCTCTCTGCTATGGCCTGGGAAAGCAGCAGAAGATGGCCCAAGTCCTTGGGCCCCTGCATCTGCGTGGGAGACCTGGAAGAAGCTCCTGGCTCCTGGCTTCGAATAAGCGCAGCTCCAGCCATTGCAGCCAATTGGGGAGTGAACCAGCAGATGGAAGACCTCTCTCTCTCTCTCTCTGCTTCTCCTTCTGGCTCTATGTAACTGTAACTTTCAAATAAAATAAATAATTCTTTTTTTTTAAAAAAAAGCAGTGGAGTAGCCAGGACTCGCGCCAGCACCCATGTGGGATGCCGGCACACCAGGCGGCGACTTTACCTGCTGTGCGTCAGTGCCAGCCCCAACAGGTCATTTAAAAAACTTACTGAGTTATCTTATCTGTGACTTACTACTTACATTTAGAATCGAAGAAAATGTCGCATTTCAGTTTGAGATGTAATCATTTTCTCAAGCAAGTTCACAAACCCTAAATGAAGAACTCTTAGTACAATAGAAAGAGGAGAGTTTTGGAGTTGAGATACCCAAATTTGACAATTCCATGTTATATGATCTTTGTCAAATTTCTTTATCTGACTTTAAAATGATGGAGTTGAAGGATTGTATAGCATTATTCACAAAGATTAAAGATACCATATATTTGGCTCTGAGCATGTGGCAAACATTAAATAAATGAAAAACATCTTTTCATGTTTTTTTGACAGGCAGAGTTAGACAGTGAGAGAGAGAGAGAGAGACAGAGAGAAAGGTGTGGGGAGCAACTGGGAGCAACTCGGACTAGACTAAGTTACTGGAATTAAGACTTATTCTATGCATCTGCTCTCCCACAATATGGCGCTGAGAAGGGAGAAACAGCTTCTACACAGTTGCCTCCAGTTCAACCAATAAACAGCAGGACCTGCTCCTGATTGGAGGAGAGCAGCGTACTCGGCGTGTGGGTAGCAGAGTTGGGATTGGTGGAAGAGGACTATAAAGGAGGAGAGAGACAACATGCACCAGGAACATCTAAGGGGAACACCTGTGCAGCCCCCGAGAGAGCCGGCCGGCGGTGTGCCGCTCCCCCGCGGAAGTGGGGAATGTGGCAGGGGGAACCGCCCTTCCACGGAGGTGGAAGGGATGGTAGTTAACCCAGGAAGAACCAGCAGCAAACCCGGGAAGGGCCGAGCAGACAAAAGAACAGTGCAGGGTCCTGTGTCGTTCCTCCACGAAGACGGGGAGCGACAAAAGGTCTTCCTTTTTCCGTTGGTTCACCCCCCAAATGGCTGCTACGGCCAGTGCGCTGCACCAATCCGAAGCCATGAGCCAGGTGCTTCCTCCTGGTCTCCCATTAGGGTGCAGGGCCCAAGGACATGGGCCATCCTCCACTGCCCTCCCGGGCCACAGCAGAGAGCTGGCCTGGAAGAGGAGCAACTAGGACAGAATCTGGCGCCCCGACCGGGACTAGAACCTGGTGTGCCAGCACCGCAGACGAGGATTAGCCTAGTGAGCCGCGGCACCAGCGAAAAATATCTTTTCACGTGAACACAGCAGAATATTTCATTCCACCATAATATAAAAGAAATCCATAGTTAATTTTGCTTACTCTTCTCCTGGCCTTTATCCTCTACTCATTGCTTTATTGATTACATTATTATATATTATTAATGTGTAAATGATTTGGCATCCTGCATTCTTTCACTTAAAATAATATGATATATTCTGTGCTTTGCAAAATAATCTAAATATGCACAGCAATTTGTCAAATATTTTTCTGCAGTCATGAATTTTAACTATACATTAAAGGAGTAATAGGTGATGACCAGGTAATGTTTATTCCAGGCAGGTTAACACTATTTACCATTACCATTTTAGGAACCTCTCGGATGCAAGGGAACCAGACTGCATGAATAGGTATGAGAGGCCTCCAACTTTAAAAGATCTAAGTGCCACAGAGGAAACCAGTGTCTCTTGTAGCAACTTATGGACACAGACAGCTTCCAACTCCCCTCAAAAGGAATGTCAGTTTCATGCCATTCAGCATTTTCTCACATTTGTGCTTTCTACCAGGTTATTTAGAGTTCATTCATAGTCTTTCTGGCCCAGTTTACCAGTCAGGGTTATTTCTATTGAAAACAACAACAACAACAACAATGTTTTCTGGCATGTAGCTGATGTCCCATCTTTATCAGGTTTGTAGGAAATAAGCTATAGAGGAAAATTTAGTGTTTGTCAAAATTATAAATAATAATATCTTTTGGTCTAATAATTCTACTTCTAGGAATTCCCCTTTAGATATACCTATATGTATGCAATGTGATAGTTGTACAAGATTATTCATCACAGCATTACTTGTAGTCTAAAATATTGGAAATTATCCAAATAAAGTATTTTTTCCAAATAAGGTATTTTAATCCTAGTATTTCATAAAATGATTGAAGAAGTCCTTTGTATACTGATTTAGGGTGATCACTAAGATAAGAAAGTGCTACCATTGGTATAAATAAATGATGGACAAAATTTTATGTGGGATCTTCAAAAATTCATTAAAAAAGCATATTACAAAAAATCTATGCAAGCTGGCGCCGCAGCTCACTAGGCTAATCCTCCACCTAGCGGTGCCGGCACACCGGGTTCTAGTCCCGGTTGGGGCGCTGGATTCTGTCCCGGTTGCCCCTCTTCCAGGCCAGCTCTCTGCTGTGGCCAGGGAAGGCAGTGGAGGATGGCCCAAGTGCTTGGGCCCTGCACCCCATGGGAGACCAGGAGAAGCACCTGGATCCTGCCTTCTGATCAGCACGGTGCACCGGCCGCAGCGCGCCAGCCGCGGCGGCCATTGGAGGGTGAACCAACTGCAAAGGAAGACCTTTCTCTCTGTCTCTCTCTCTCACTATCCACTCTGCCTGTCAAAAAAAAAAAAAAAAGAAAGAAAAAAAAAGAAAAAGAAAAGAAAAGAAAAGAAACTTCATTCTCTCATTAAAAAAAATCTATGCAAGAATTTCAAATTGTTTGTACCAAAATAAATTTATCTTTTAATTCCATGAGGCTTGTGAAGTACCCTCATACACCTATCTCCATGCATATACACAGACTATCTCTGGGAAGATAATGAAGAAACTGGTAACACTGATTGTCTCTAGGGAGGTCAACTAAATGGCCTGAGGGCACTGTTGATGTAATTCTTGCTGCACTTTTTGAACCACGTGATTATATTACCTGTTTGGAAAATTAAAATTTTGAAAAGAATTCACTTGAAAAGTGGCTGACCTTTGGGCTCGATAGATGTATTTCGAGTTTCCTGTGAGCCGGTACAGCAGCAAGAAGACATAGGCACTGCCAGCTACGCCATGGCAAATCCCTGGCCCCTTCTTTAGCAGGCCCTTCTTCCACGTGAGCTCCCCACACCGAATACATGTGTCCAGGTACTGTGGCTTCTTGGAAACCAGATAAGCTTTGGCAAACAGATAGGCAATTCCTGTAAAAACATCAAAGACATTCAGAGAGGTGACGTTCAGGACTTAATACTACAGAGTTGGACTTGTTGAACTGTAAAGCATCACAAGAAACCACAATTTCTAAAATGGTAGGGCTGAGGTGGGGCCTGACATGCTGCTTTTCTAACAGAACTCTCCTGGGGACCACACTTTGAGTAGGCAGGCTATAGAATGCTCAATGAGAGAGTATTTTTCCCTGTAGGATTTAAGTTGCTTTAATCGTGAGGCTGGCCCCTGGAGGAAGAGCAACATTTTAACTGAGTACATCAACTGATAAAATCAATAATTTAATCTACAAATGGGTTAATATTTTATGATGTTCACTCGGGTAAGTATTATGTATATCTGGCTGTTTGGAATATTTACACATCTTACCGATTTCCCCACAGAGGTTCAGAATTTGTATTGTTTAAGTACTTGTAACAATATGCATTTTCTTAAGAGCAAAACTTGGGGGAGTCTTCAAAAACAACAATGCTCCCAAATGACCTTGCCAAGACTTCGACCCCAGCTATGAAGTGAGTCCTTTCCAAGTGGATTGTTTCAAGGAAAGAAACGTTTCTCCAAAACTCATCAACAAAAGTAGTATCAATTACAAAGGCAGGAACAGAAACCAGAAGCACTGCTATTTATAGAAATGATTTTCTCTAAGCTCCAAGTTCCAAGTGCTCAAGTTCAGAGAGGAGGCTAGTAAGGCAAGATGAGTCTCTCCTGCATAGCTTACCTTTCTCCTAGATAAAAAGTGAGGAAGAATGAAATGCAGTAAGTGCATCGATTAACTCATCCATCAGGTCTACCTCTGCCTTTCATTGCTTCAACTAGGCTATTTTTACAACTCTGTAAAGATAGAGATTACCTTGTAGAAAACTGATAGCAATGTAAGTAAGTCCTGTTCCTAGAAACTCAAATCTGTCTGGGAGAGTTTGAAGTGACTTCCCTCTGCCTCTGTGGAAGAAGCTAGTTTGGCATCTACATGTATTAAACAAATCCATTTCATCATTCCTAATGGCCTATAAATGTCTGCTCTTTGGATTTTCCTCTGAACTGGTTGTAACACCTTTCTGGTTTCCTTCTTAATTAATGAGCTATATAAAATGCTTGATATACTCAGGTGCTCATTTTATATTTGTGTGAGAGTCATGATTTCATCCTCTTAAAATGTATCCTTTAACACTCCCTATGATTAACACTTACATTGCAACAGGCTCCTTGCTTAGCCTGTGTATTCTAGTCCCATTTTTGACAATGGTTCCCCATAGCATTGCCCTGCTTAAGTTTTAGGAACTATCTTGCACAAATGAAAGGATGATTCTTTTAAAAAAAGAATCTATTTAATTATACATTCATTCATTCACTGAAAGTGGTCACTGATTATCTCCTGTATGCGTAGCCCTAGGCAAGACCGGCCTCATGGGCATGTAACCTGTGCAGACCCATCGACAGCCCACGTCCCTTCAAAGAATCCAATGCTGGTTTAAGTGTTCTGCTATTGCCATATTTAATAATTTTTCTTAATATTCTAGGCCCTGTAAGTTATGTAGCCAGTACTGGCTGCGGGTGACAGAAATGCTCAACATGACTCTTGTCCTTCAGGAACATACTGTCTGAAAAAGATAAAATATGCATATACGACTGACACATAATAGGACATATAGCTCATGATGCCACTGAAACATACATGCTACTGTCAGTAATACTGGAGGGGGCGTGCAGTGGATTAAGCTGCCACTTGTGAAGTCAGCATCCCCTACTGGAATGCCATTTTGAGTGCTAGATACTCTGCTTCGGTCCAGAATTTCTATGCTTGGGAGGCAGCAGATAATGGCCCAACTAATTGGTTCTCTGACATTCACGTGGGAGACCTGGAAGGAGTTTCTGACACTTGGCTTCGGCTTGGCCTAGTCCTGGCTTTTGTAGGCATTTGGGGACTGAACCAATGGATAGAAGGTCTCTCTCTCTCTCTCTCTCTCTCTCTCTCTGTGTGTGTGTGTGTGTGTTTAAATAAATAAATACTCTTAGTAATACTAAAAGAATTAAAAAGATTCCCTAAGAGAGAGTGTCAGACAATGCCTCAGATGGATGTAGAGCTTTTTAAGATTTTGTAGGATGGATGGAAAACTCCAGGCCCAAGATGAGGCAGTGAGGGCATTCTAGGCACCAGGATCAGCAGGGGCAAAGACTAGGAGCCAGGAAGGATAGGTTACATGAGGGTCAGTGGTGTAGAAGGATAGTTTCAGTTCAGATTATGGCTGATTTTACAAATCCAATTAGACAGATCATATTCGGTGGGCAACAGGGAACCAGTGGAAGTGTTTTTCTTGTGAACTGGCATGCTTTTCTTTTTATGTAACAATAGGACTATTACTATAAACAAAATGACACACAATGGTGTCGGCAGAGACTTAAAGAAGGGCAATGGAGTGGCTATGAGGTGATTATGTTGGCCCAAAGATGGGAATGAAGCTAATGAAAGGAGACACTTCACAGAACTTGGTGGCTGCTTAGTTATTAATTGAGTATCTACTGTATGTGAGACACACAAGCAGATGCTAAGGTTTTAATAAACTCCTACACCTTAACTGGAGATGTTAATTTGGCCATGTGTTGGAAAACAGAGTTGTCATGAGAGCATATAAGAGGACCCCAACCCACAGCTGGTGGCACAAGAGGCCTACTATAGGGAGTGACACCATCTAGCATGAGCACTGGAGGAGAAGGAGGAATTAGCCAGGTGTACCAGATACACTTGGTGCCCTGCCTGGATCCCCTTTACCTTACCAGCAGATTCCAAATCTCCCAGTTGCTGTGAGAATTGCAGCTTCCCCCTAAATGGGAGATTTATCCACAGCCAGATGGAAGGCTATGCTATGCACCCCTTCCTCAGAGAATTTTAGCCAATGACTTACTGACACAGGAGTACAATTGCCTCAAGACAGAACCAGCATGTTGGTATAACCTGGGCCTCTTAGCTTAACCTCAGAATCAGGGTAAAACTATCTGCAGGTGGGTTATGCGCTGTTTGGTTTTTCTCTACTGCCCTATCCTGCTTCCCTGCTCCCTTTGTCGGTTGTTTCCAAGAGCAGGCTCTTCTTCTAGACACTTGGCAAAGAGCATGTTGGAGAGGGATGTGTTCCAGCCACGGGAAGCCTAAATGGCTTCCTATTACCCAAGTGCCACAGCATGACCCAGAAAGCCCTCTGTGACACAGCTCCTAGTCTGTTCTCCTTCCTCTTCTCCTCCTTTCCCTGTTTAAAGCTTTTCACTTCAGAAAATCCAACTGTCTGCATTGTTTTGGTGCCTCTGACTACCCATGCTGTTGACTCTTTTTGGAACAAGCTTCCCACCTTTCCTGGCTTAATTTACCCCAGGCATGACTTCCTCTAGGGAGTTTTCTCTGAACCTGTAGGCAGCACACCAAGAATCCCTCCCCTTATTACAGTACCAGATTAAAACAATCTATTCCCATGTCTACCTCCCCTAGTATAGTGCTAGCCATCCAAGGTCAGAAACAGCATCTTGTTCATTTTTGTTTCCCTGGTCCATAGTATAGTGTTTGGCACCTTGCAAGGGCTCCATAAAAGTCTACAGGCCATATAATGCTACGTTTCTCACCCTATCATGGGCTGTCACTGGGGTGAAGATGGGAGATGTGGAAGCAAAAAGGGATGAGATAGTCTGATTGCTCTATCAGGCCAGTATCCTCAGGCAGCTTAACAACAGGTATTGATCCTGTGTTTCTGGACAGAGTGCAAGGGCCTCTACATGAAGCCTGGGTCACAGAACGGTGCATGTAAGAGACCTTGCAAAACTTCTAAACCTATGGGTTCCTAACCTAATCTAATAGAATTCATAGTAAGGCTGCTTAATCTGAAGGGAAGGAATGTTGGCTTTCTTTGCTTTTTGGGGGAACCATATAATTTTGTTATGGGAACGCTAATTGTTGTGCATTGATAAGAGACCTCAGTCAGCAAGAACTTATGTCTTTGCCAAATGCAACTGGGAAAAGGAATTATTACCTAATAAATATGGCTTGAGAGACTAAATCTTCATAAACATGGGTTCTAGCAGAATCTTGTGATAGCCAGACTTGGTGCATGCAGTTTATACATGCTACACATTCATCACTCAGATCCATTCTGGGCTGCATAATATTGTTGAAGCTCACATCATATGTATGATCTGCACTACAGAACTTCGTGACCAATGACACCTATACTGCCAAAGCATTGCTCCTCTTTATTCAAAGTCACCAAGAGCCCTTATGAAAGAGTTAAAAAAACACACACCTGTTTCAAGCAGAGTAGAGGAAATGCACTGTCAGTGTTACCACGGTAATGATGTAACTCAATGCAGTAAAGAGTTTATTTTAGCCACAGAATTTGTTCTAATGATTTTGCAAAGTGACTTTCATCTTGTATTGCAGAGTTATCAAGGCTATGAAGCGATCATATGAATCTTCCTGTAATGCTTCATTGCATTTAATGAGTAAAAGCTACATGCCACCACTCCACACATTTATAAATGAGCTTGTTTTCAAAGCTTTCGGTATATATCCCACAGGAATGGCAAGGGTCCACAATCTAAAAGAGGGGTCTGTGGTTATAAAAAGGTTGGATTCCATGATGGATATTAAGCCTAACAGCTTAGACACTTGCATTCCACAATGGAATATGTGGGTTTAATAGTTAGCTCTTGGTTCCTGGCTCTACCTTCCCACAAATGTAGACCCTGGGATATAGTAGTGTTGACTCAATAACTGGGAGACCTGGATTGAGTTCTTGGCTCTTAGCTTTGGTCTGGCTCAGTCCCCACCACGGAAGGCATTTGGGGTGTGTGGCAGGGAGTGAGCTCGCTCCCTCTCTCTCTCCCTCTCCCTACTTTTTTTTTTTTTTTTTGACAGGCAGAGTGGATAGTGAGAGAGAGAGAGAGAGACAGAGAGAAAGGTCTTCCTTTGCCGTTGGTTCACCCTCCAATGGCCGCTGCGGCCGGCGCGCTGCGGCCGGCGCACCGCGCTGATCCGATGGCAGGAGCCAGGAGCCAGGTGCTTTTCCTGGTCTCCCATGGGGTGCAGGGCCCAAGCACCTGGGCCATCCTCCACTGCACTCCCTGGCCACAGCAGAGGGCTGGCCTGGAAGAGGGGCAACCGGGACAGAATCCGGCGCCCCGACCGGGACTAGAACCCGGTGTGCCGGCGCCGCTAGGCGGAGGATTAGCCTAGTGAGCCGCGGCGCCTGCCTTCTCCCTACTTTTTGAAAAGTTAAATAAAAAATTGAATTCTGTACTCCATTTCAATGTGTTCATTTCACAGATGAAGAGACAATGGCAGAAAAGAAACTAAGTAACTTTTCTCAAAGTCATTTAGCTGAATATTGCTGGAGCTACAATTAGAACACAGAGCTATTAACTCTGAATCAAAAAAAACCTTTCTACACAGCATCGCTGATAACTAGAGCTGCCCCCTGTACAGGTGGGTTGAAGGATAATAGAAAAAAATTATGGGGAGAGATAGAGCAGTATTAACGAAGTTCCACATTGTAGATTATCTCTGGCAGGTTTTTAATCACAGAATTGGTCTGCTGCCCCAGCCATCTGCACTGTTCATAAGTCTGCACTCAAAAATGTTTTCTTCAAACAAATGAAAATTATTTTTCTAGGCCACTTCCTGTTTCAGAATTTTTAGAGAGTTTGTTCTTCCCAACTTTAGTGAGATATCAATGTTCTCTGACCTGTACTTACCAGACTTCTAATCATATTCAATGCTATTATTAGAGTATTTCTTAAAAGGAAGACCTATTGGTTTTTAGGTAGGGGTAGAGGCTGGCAGAAATAATGGACTGCATTTAGTGTTTTATTCATTTGTGAGTTGGTTTAATTTTGGTAGTCAAGTGAATACGTGGATTGAATGATTTTGCTTTGGAGCCTGTGTTCAATCTTCTCAGGATATTGAACATGAATGACAAAGGAGAATAAATAAAGTCCCCAAAGTGACAAATCCTATGCTGCACTGTTATGGTACATGATTTACAAAGACAGATGGCACTTAATGTACAGAAATGATGGAATAATTGCCTTTCAAGATACCTAAATCAATGAACTGCCCCACTTGCTCATTTCAGCAGATAATGTTCCTATTCTTTATAGGGCTTTTACTAGCACACTGAGTGCTTTTAAAATATTCTGTATTTAATTTGGGACATCTCCAAAATTCAAGGATCCTGGGATGCTTGGAGGATATCCAGAGACCATCATTAAGAATGATTAAAGTGAATGGGAAATGGAGGTATTGAAAATAACAAGAAGAAATATAATTTCCAGGATGGTAAATAACTGCTTTTCCTCCAAAAAGGTCAAAGCAAGAACAAATGGACTGAAATTATAACTGGCAGGAGTTAGCCTGAACATAATGTACAATGCCCTGGTACTGGTTCAAGCACACATTTTGAAGTTCCTCCCATAGATAAATATGGCAGGTACACAATACATAGTCAATAGTCTGTGACATATTATTCATCAACTCAAACTATACTACAGAAAGAGTAAAATTACATTTGGATTAAAGAACATTAATTAGGGAGTGAAAAGAGATAATAAAAATCAGGTAACAAAGTAAAGATAAATCAAATATACGTATTTTAAAGCTGCACTTACAGGATTGAAATACAGCCTTGAAAATCAAATCTATTCATAATCTAAATATTTTCTTATTTTGATATTTCAAATCTCTTCACTGGTCAATTAACCAAAATTAATTGATTTATTTGAATTTAGTTTTTTCAAATTGCCTCTTCTCTGAAGGCCTAATTAGCAGTGTAATGGGACTGTAAAAGAGGAGAGAAAGAGGGTGTCTGATAAATTTCTAGGCTGAATTCCATTAGAATTCAGCTTCATATTTCTCTAGGCTTTTTATTAGATACTAATGGAAATCTTCATTTGAAGAATTATAGAACAGGGCTTGTCAAACTTTAATGTACATACAAATCACCTAAAGTTATTGATAAAATGCAGCTTCCGATTGAGTCTAGGGTGGGACCCGAGATTCTGTATTTCTAACAAGCTCTCCATTGTCCATGCTACTAGGTCAAAGACCACATTTTGAGCTTCCAGGTTCCGGATTTGTACCATGCAATATAGCTATTGAGAACTTGAAATGTGACTAGTCTGAATTAACATGTGTAACTATAACATATACACAGGATTTCAAACACAGAATTTTTGAAACATGAGATATCTCAATTTTTCAATCTGTTACATGGTAAAGTGACAGTATTTTAGGTATATTGAGGTAATATATAACATTACAATTAATTTCACCTGTTTTTAATTTTCCAATGAGGCTACTGAAATTTAAATTACATATGTGACTTGTGTTATATTTTTATTAGACAGTGCTTATTTAATGTAATATACAAATGGACATAAGTCATATATTTTAAGAAATATAGGATAATTTTCAGGAGTCCTTTGGAGACCAAGACATTTTTGTCTTTGAAAAATTTTATCTTGACCTTTATATCTCACACAGTTATGACAAGAGGAGAAATACTGTCACTTAGAAGAGGGCATTTGGCCTAGCACCTGAGACATCAGAGCACCTGGGTTTGATTCCTAGCTCAGGCTCTGGCTCTTTTTTAAAAGATTCATTTTATTTATTTGAAAGGCAGAGTGATGTACAGAGAGACAGAAGAGGGAGAGACAGAGTGAGAAAGAGATCTTCCATCTGGTGGTTCACTATACAAATGGCCACAATGGCCAGGGCTGGGCCAGGCCAGAGCCGGGAGCCTGGAACTTCATTCAGGTCTCCTAGGTGGGTAGCAGGGGCCCAAGCACTTGGGCATCGACTGCTGCTTAGGCACATTAGCAGGGAACTGGATCAGAAGTGGAATGGCTGGGACTCAAAATGGTGCTCCAATATGGGATGGTGGCATTGGAGACAGTGGTTTAAACCCACTGTGCCACAACGTCTGACCCCAGCTCTAGCTCTTGACTCCAGATTTCCACTAACGCAGACCCTGGGGGGCAGCAGTGATGGGTCAAGTAATTACGTTCCTGCCACCCATGTGGGAGACCTGGGGAGCACTTCCAGATCCTGGTTCTGGCTTCCATTGAGCCCCAGCTATTGCGGGTATCTGGGGAGTAAACTAGCAGATGGGGGCATTCTCTCTCTCTCTCCTAAATAAAAATATTTTTAAAATAGTGATACTTTCAGAAAAGGAACCTCTCTTTGGCTAAGCTGAATGAAAAGCAAAGGTTTCAGATAACAATGTGTGAGAGACCTGGAGCACCGTGGCACCAGTGTACCAGCTCATTCTCCCTCTCGATCGTCTCGCCAAGCTCAGGGGGCCAGTTGCAGTTCTGTTCCTGTTCCATAAGGAAGTCTACACTCTGCCATACCAGCTCACGATCTGAGGGCTTGAGGTGCTCATGGTAAGACAGAAGCATCTGGAGAATGGATGACAGGCCATGAGCTGCCCCTATAACAACAGAGAAAGCGTAATTAATTCACATGATTAGAAGAGCCAGTTTGATTTGCTGAAAACACGCTCAACAGGATAAAAAACGACAGTATTACTTGAAAGCACATAGAGTACTACAATAATTGAATTGTTGAAGAGCTACGCATCTGGCAGTCTACAACCTGCAGGTCCACTGCCTATTTTTTTAAATAAAGATTTATTGGAACATTCATGCTGATGTGCTTACATACTTGTTTAGCTGATTTTGTGCTACAATAGCAGAGTTGTATTTGTGAGACACAGTACATGATCTACAAAGCCTAAAATATTCACTGTTCAGCCCTTTACAAACCCAATTTGTTTTCCAATTCCTACTGTTTAGATTGTTTTAATTTTATAATTAACCTTTCAGTAGCTTTTATGAAAATGTTTCTAAAGTGCTTCAAAATAATTTGGTATGAGTACCCTAAACACTTATTTATTCATTCATCCATTCAACACAGAAGTATTAAGCATCTACTTTATACCAGATACTGTATTCCATGCTGAGGACAGATCAATGAACAAAACAGATTAAATTTCTTATTTTGTAATGTTAAACACCAGTGACTGGTATTTTTACCTAATCCTTCACTTTTAGTACTTTGTATATAGGACACTGTCTAATCCTGGGAATATACAGATGAATATGATTTGGTTCACACCCTTGAAGACTTCCCCATCCAGTTGTGAGACAGCCAGGTTTGTAAATAAGTTATTAGAACATAGGGTGATAAGTGCCTATGGAGGGGTGTATTCCAGGAGTGTGGTTAATTTTACATGTCAAATTTGACTAGGGGGCAGACATTGTGGTGTAGTGGCCAGTGCTTGGAATGCCCTCATCTTATATCAGAGTGCCTGAGATTGAGTACCGCCCCCCATTTCTGATCCAGCTTCCTGCTGATGTACCCTCTGGGAGGCAGCAAATTATGGCTCAAGCACTTGGGTTCCTGCCACCCATGTGGGATACCTGGATGGAGTTCCTGGTTCCTGACTTTGGCCTGGTCCAGCCCTGACTATTGCAGGCATCGGGTAGTGAACCAGCAGATATCTCTCTCTCTCTCTCTCCCTCTCTCTCTCTCTCACACACACTCTCCTTCTTTCCCTTTCAAGTAAATAAAAATAAATAAACTTAAAAATAAACTTGACTGAGTCATGGGATACCCAGATATTTGGTTAAGCATTATTTCTGAATGTGTCTGTGAGGGTGTTTCTAAATAAAAATAACATTTGAATCTGTAGGCTGAGTAAAGCAGATTGCCTTCCCTCATGTAAGTAACCCTGATATAATCCATCAAAGGCCAGAACAGAAGAAAATGAAGGACAAGAAAAACTTATTTCTCCCTAGTTGACTGTCTTCAATCTGGGACACTGGTCTTCTCCCTTTTGACCCAGATTTGGACTTTAACTCACACCATTGGCTTTCCCTCACACTACTGGCTTTCCCCAGTCTGGCTTTATCAACCTCCACATAATGTGAGCCAATTATATTTCTTTTTTTAAAGATGTATTTATTTGAAAGTTAGAGTTACACAGAGAGAGAAGGAGAGGCAGAGAGAGAGAGAGAGAGAGAGAAAGAAAGTCTTCCATCCACTGGTTCACTCCCCAGTTGGCTGCAACGGCCCTGAGTTGTACTGATCCAAAGCCAGGAGCCAGGAGCTTCTTCTGGGTCTCCCATGCAGGTGCAGGGGCCCAGGGACTTGGGCCATCTTCTACTGCTATCCCAGGCCATAGCAGAGAGCTGGATCAGTGAGGAGCAGCCAAGACTAGAACCGGCGCCCATATGGGATGCCAGCACTTCAGGATAGGGCTTTAACCTGCTGCGCCACAGCACTGGCCCCTGTGAGCCAATTCTTTAAATCATATATATGTCCTGTCTCTGGAGAATCTTGCCAAATATTAATACAAAGAGCTAAAAGACAACCAGTGAAGGAGAGTTTAATTTGACCTCAGGAGTGAATTTGGTACTGAAGGTTCCACATTGGTGGTGCCATCTAAGCAAAGTCTTAAAGAATTCCTAAGAGTTCCAGCAGAGGGTACTGAACCAGCCAAAGCATGAGCCTCCCTTTGCAAAAAAGGAGTTAGTTTAAGAACGTTAAATGCTTGGTGCCAGCGCAGTGGTGCAGCAGGTTCACACCCTGGCCTGAAGCACCAGCATCCCATATGGGCGCCAGTTCAAGTCCCGGTTGCTCCACTTCCGATCCAGCTCTCTGCTAGGCCTGGGAAAGCAGCAGAAAATGGGCCAAGTGCTTGGGCCCCTGCACCCATGTGGGAGACCCAGAAGAAGCTCCTGGTCCCTGGCTTCGGATTGGCGCAGCTCCGGCCATGGTGGCCAACTGGGGAGTGAACCAGCAGATGGAAGACTTCTCTCTCTCTGCCTCTCCTCCCTCTGTGTAACTCTTTCAAATAAATAAATAAATAAATCTTAAAAAAAAGAAAGTTAAATGCTAGGCCAGTCACTGTAGGAGTTTTCATTTATTCCCAATTAGCGAAATCCTGATTTGTGGGGTATTAGGTTTAGTATATTCTGAGGGCTTGTTCTTTAACTCAATTCTATAATGTTAACACTTTCTCTGTATTCAGGCATCTTTTAAAACTCCTGACTCACCAAAAAATGCCTGACAGTTGTACCTAGTCAACAATTCCATAGTTCTTAAAATTTGGTCATAAAATTTGAAAGTACTTTTTTCACTGGACTTGAAATTGCTAGGAAAAGCTTGATTTTCAGGAAAATGTTTACGGATTAAATAGAAATTTGGTTTGCACTCTACATGTAAGTGCCCAGACATTAATTTCTCTTTAAAAATCTGTAATGGAAAAGGGGTAGCTGTATTAGGGGCTAGGGCAGATACTATCAGTGGCCAGCCCATTACCTCATCCAATACTCACCGATCAGGTGCAACTACTCTCCCTGCTTCCTACCTAATGGAAGCATGTATCATTCCACCTGAGGCTTTCTCTGGTCACATGAGTATGCCAGAGTGTGCCCAGACCACAGAGGCAGGTAAAAATTGCTAGGGAATTAATACTTCTGGGAACAGCTGTGAATGAAGCAGGATGTTGGTGGAAAAATACTCCAGCTCCCTCACCTCTTAGATGAGAAAATTCAGAGGCAAGTTCCATAGTTTCTCAAAGTCCCCAGTGGAATTGAGTCAGCTGTCCACAGCTGCTCATTATTACACACTCAATTGGCTTCTTTTTCTTCCTTATATCATTTCCTTATTCTTCTATAAAAACTTTCTGGGATCACCAGAATGAATGAATGAATGAATGAATAAATAAATAAATAAATCTTCTACATTCAAATCCTCATTTCAAGGTCTAATTCTAGGGAAACTTAGACTGGAAGTTAAAGGTTCTTTGAAAGATTAAAAAAAAAAAAAAACTCTGATGTTTTCCTTAGTCACGCACCTAAGGAAATTTCCTTAGCCAAGTTTAATTTATTTGGGTACCTTCATTATGTGCATGCTCTGTGGCAAAGATCTAGGGATCACAAAGATACATGAAAGGAAGTCCCCATCCTGAAAGTGCACAAAGCCCTCGAAGGTAGTTGAACTACTAAACCACTAATTATAGTGTGATTTAATAAGGGTTCTGACAGCAGTGTTAGCAGAGTGACAAGACTGTTACCCAGTTTTTGTTTCAGGCAAAAACCTGACACATATGAAAGTTTTTTCCAGATAGGGTTCAATAACCCTTTCTCCAAAAGCACATAAAGCTTCTCAGTAGATCTGATGACATTTGCGCAGTCTTCACGTCTGCGAATGATTATTACCGGTACAAGAAGGGCCTGGAGGAAGTGGGCGATTCTAGGCAAAAGGAACATGCACAAAGGAATAAAGATAGGAGGCAACTTTGTGTAGGGTGGAGACTACGCTGGACAGAACGTGGCGGGGAGAAATAAAGCTTGTGTCTGGAGAAAGAGGCACGTGGTCTAAAAGGGCCTGATCAATCCATTGAAGAAGTCAAAAGAGGAGGAACTTATTCTTTATGCGGTTTAGAACTCAAAATTTGTCATTGCAATTCAGTAGTCTTTTACTAATCTACAATTACTAAAAACTCTAAATGTGGGGCTGGTGCTATGGCATAGTAGGCTAAGCCTCTGCCTGCAGCACCAGATACCAGTTCGAGTCCCGGCTGCTCCACTTCCAATCCAGCTCTCTGCTATAGCCTGGGAAGGCAGAAGACAGCCCAAGTGCTTGGCCACTGCACCCATGTGGAAGACCTGGAAGAAGCTCCTGGCTCCTGGCTTCGGCCCAGCTCTGGCCACTGCAGCCATTTGGGGAGTGAACCAGCAGATGGAAGGCCTCTTTCTCTTTCCTACTCCACCTTTCAAATAAATAAATAAATCTTTAAAAAAAAAAAACTCTAAATTTTAGTGGCTGAATCCTGTTTCCCTATGCAGAAGCACTTTTGGAAATCAGTGAGAGTGAAAATTATTCACAATCTTTCATCAAAATTGGGCCAATGAGCTTTCAATCTAGAAGAATGATTTTAATATTTGGTGAAAGCAGTTGTTAAAAGAGCTACATTTCTGCAGGTAGATTATGAAAACACATATTGAACCATGAATTGTAATATCTGTCAATATTTGTTTTAAAACTGCATTTTATCAGTGCACATTGCTTATATTGAAATATCACACTGTACCCCACAAATACGCACAATTACTACATGTTAATCAATTATTAAAAATAAATTTAAACATTTTTAAGTAATATTATTCCTTACTAAATGAATCCTTATGACTTAGGGCAGAAACAAAATGTTTCAGTCATTGCTCAATGTTAATGTCAGAGACTCCTTCTGTATCAACACCTTCACTCACCCAAGTACTCAGTTCCATAGTAAGAATACATCAGGGGAATCGGTTTTCTCTTTTTCATGGCATACTGCTTCCCAGAGTCCAGAATTGCCTGGCAAATTGATTTGATCTGTGCTGGAGTCAGTACCTGTGTAAGAAATTCAAAAGGCAGAAGTTAAAGCAGAATCTTTTTTTTTTTCTTTTTCTGAGACACTGGGTTTTCTTGATTGTGAAGTGTATAAGAACATAAAGAAAAGATGAGGAAATAGAAACATCCATTGTCTTATTTGATTAATTTATGTTGTATGCATGTGTTGAAGTATTGTACTGTACCCCATAAAAATGTATAAGTATTACATGTTAACCAAAGCTTTAATTTTTAAAAAAGATTTATTTACTTGAGATGTAGAGTTACAGACAGTGAGAGGGAGAGACAGAAAAAAGTCTACCCTCTGCTGGCTCACTCTCCAAATGGCTGCAAAGGCCAGAGTTGGGCCTATCTGGAGCCAGGAGCTAGGAGCTTCTTCCAAGTCTTCCATATAGATGAAGGGGCCCAAGCACTTGGGTCATCTACTGCTTTCCCAGGCCATAGCAGAGAGCAGCCAAGACTAGAACCAGCACCCATATGGGAAACCGGTACCACAGGTGGAGGATTAACCTACTGCGCCACAGCACCAGCCCCACCAAAACTAATTTTTAAAAGGCTCATCAGTATATCTCCAGAATCCTTACCTGTATGTAAATAAGCTTAACTATTTATATGTATTTTACCACCGATTTTCCCTTTAATGTCAAATGTATCTACCATCTTCAGAAAATTCGCTGTTTTGATGATACTGCTATAGACCATTATAAAATACAATCTACCTCACAGCTGTTATATCATTAACCCTCAGCCAAGAACAAGAATATGTTCAGAAAAGAACAAGTAGTGGTCCTAACTGATTTTGATTAAAAAAGTTGCAACTTGTCATGTATAGTGCAAGTCTGGCCTGGACACTGAGTCTTCCATTTGTGTCACTTAGACTGTGCATAGAAGCCATGATTCTGTGACAAGCTGTTGCATGACATACTCACTCTAGATATTCGTTCTCTGAATGAAACCCAAGTTCAATAATGCCAAGAGAAAATAATTTCTAAACATCAAAGTGAATGTTCGACCTAATGGTTAAGACACTCATGTTCCACATCTGAGTGCCTGGGTTTAATTCCTGGCTCCAGCTCCAGACTCTAGATTCCTGCTAATGCTGACCAAGGTAATGGTGATGGCCCACATAATAGGGTTCTTGTCACCCACATGGGAGACTTGGATTGAGTTTCCAGTCTCCAGCTTTAGTCTGGCTCATCCCCGGTACTCTCTGCTTTTCAAATAAATTAAAAAATAATAATAATAAAGACTTCTAAACATCAGAATGACTCTGAATTCAGAGAATGACTAAAATGTAAGAACTTTCAGTCTTCCACATTTTATTCAATCTATCCACAGTCAGTTTTAGGACCATGGCAATTAAAATGTTCTCAAGCCTTCAAAGCATCATTGAATTTATTATTCTGCTCAGGTTTGCAATGTGTTCTGTGTCCTGTCCTTCCTCGGGGCAGATCAGAAGCTCCCTCTGGCACACTGCCTGCACCACCAGAATGCTTGCTCCGGTGCAGCATTTACCACCTGCTACGTTAGGTCTCTCATTAGACTCTCAGTTCTTTGAAAGCAAAGACCATGGCATCTCATCATTTTGGTATCCTTGGTGTCCTACACAGAGCCTGAGGGGTTGCTTGGTATCCAATGAGTAAATTTAAGTGTCAAGTTAACTGGTATGAAAAGCAGAGCCCTCCCTCCTTTTCCTTTTCCCTTGCCTCCCCTTCTCCTCCCATCCCTCTGTTTCTCCCTCTTTTCCTCCCTCCTTCTTTTACATCCATTCAGGATTATTTCTTAAGCCCCTAATGTATTCCAGGCAAGCCTATTTGAGATGCTGGAGGTGACAGTGACCAAGATATATAGGATCTCTGTACTCATGAATCCAACCTCTCCAAAAGGCAGACCTACACAAGAAAAGTACCTGTTACATCAATACCTGTCCCTAATAACAACAAAATGTTACCTTAAAAAAAGTCATCTAAAGTTCAGTGTGACTGAATGAATACAGAATCAAGAAAAAGCTTGTTGGATTTTGGCCTCTCTTGTAAAATCCATACATCTAATTTTCCTACCTGATACCTGGCATTAGACCTGCCAATTCTTTTTTCTTTTTAAATTTATTTATTTGAAATGCAGAGATACAGAGAGGGAGCAACAGATAGACACATAGACATCTTCTATCTTCTGGTTTACTCTTCAAATGGCCATAACGGCCTGGGTTGGTCCAGGCAGTGTCGCTCCTCCGCGGGCTCGAAGGAGAACGACACCGGACCGCACGCTGTTGTTTAAGCGAATGACTCTGCATTGTGCACTCAAGTTTGCTCCTGTGCTAACCGCATTCTAACCGTATTCCACTTGGTGTGTGTCCGCATTCTTGTTATTCTTTCAGCGTGTGGTGTGAGATGTCTGGGGCGCCTCGCGGCGCATAAGCGAATCCCCCCGCGCCGCTTTTGTCTTGCCTTTATAGTCCTCTCCCACCAATCCGTGCTCTGCTGCCCACGTGCTGAGCACGCCGCTTTCTTCCAATCAGAGGTTGGGTCAGCTCCTGCAACTCATTAGTCAAATTGATGAAGCAGCCGAAGCCGCTGTGTAGAACTTGTTTACTCCCTCTCAGCACCATGTTGTGGGAGCCGGGCCCTGCTTCCCATAGGCAGAAACCAGAAGCCAGGAACTCCATCAGGGTCTCCCACATAGGTGGCAGGAACCTAAGTACTTGGGCCATCTTCCACTGCCTTCCCAGATACATAAGCAGGGAGCTGGATTGGAAGTGAAGCAGCAGGGACTTGAATCGTCACTCTGACATGGGATGTCGGCGTCTCAGGCCACAGTGCAACCTGCTGTGCCACAACGCTGGCCCTGAGACCACCAATTCTTTTAGAAATAAAATCCCACTTATATCCTAACTTGTTCATCTGATTCACCCAACATAAGAAGGGTATATTAAAATCCAGGTTTTGGTTCACTCAAATCAAACATTTAATTTGGAAAAATAATCACTTAAATCAGAAACCATTAATTTATTAATTCTGGCAATTAACATTTGTTTGGCTCCTATTCCAGGAAGGTCGAACACTAGGTCTCATACTAGGCATTGTGGGGAAATTCTAGAAGGCATGGGACGCATTTTTTCACATAGGGAACTTAAACTGCCAGAAATGAAATATGACAAAAATTCACAATAGCTCAGTTGAAGTTTATGAGCCTATAAATGGAAAGAAACAGGAATGTAGAGTATGCAACATGGACAGTGAAGCACTACTCATCTTCACAAAGACTTTATTCTCTCCTCCATTTCATCTGTCTGCTCATAAACAATTAAATTAAATTTCCCTTTTATTAATTACCTATCTTTGTCTCTTGAGTTTAGTCTTCTTTTCCTGAAGACCCTATCTGCCTATGCATTCCCACTGTCATCTGGCAGCCCAAGGTCTTTCCTCAGTCCAACAGCAAATTTTTCTTAAATGCTTTACTGGTCTGCACTCATTCACATTGCTATCACAATTTTCACTTGATACTGAAAACCTTTACTCTCTGGGTTTTATCTGTATCAACTCATCTTACATTTAGTCTTTACTTAAAATCTTGCATCATTAGTCTCAAATCATTCTCTCTACCCTGGCTCATTCTCAGAAACCTGCTAACAGCCTTGAAGGGCATGCACTTAACAGCACATTACCCTGGTTCCATCTCATATTTTGGGGGAATATATCTTTCTCTTTGGCTGTACTTAGGATCTATGCACCCAATATTGATTTTGAATCCATATGGCAGAGATGGTAGGAAATGATCACTAACTTTTCAGAGATATACTCATTTGGATTACTAAAATTCTATAACTGAAAATTGGGTTATTCTTTCCTCAGTTGAATGTTTATTCATGTTTTCTGTGTGTTTATATGTGTGTTTGCTTGATTTTAACCCAGAAAAAAAAATCAACTTATGCTCTATGTGGTGTCCTCTCTCTTTCTTTCCATCTGTAATCCACAGCTCAGCATTGGGAATGAGTTTATAAATATTATTTCAAAACCTCTCCTGGTCATGCATCATGTCTGGGTGGTTTCCTCTTATCTCTCAGAAACACTGTGAAAAACAAAGAGAAACCAGCACTTGTTCAGCTGGATAGAGACCAGTTATGCATGCAGTTCTTTATCTCTGGAAACAGACAAGACCAACCCTTGAGTGTATTGATCAGCAAATAAAAACTGAAAGCAGTAGTCATTAAAAAGTCTTTGTGGGGGGGATCACCAAGGAAGAGCATGTCCCCTTCCCCTCCCCCCGCCCCCCCCCCCCCCCGACAATAGGGAAAGAATAAAGGAGATGAAACTCAGGGGCAGGTACTGGATCTTTTCCTCTGGTTTGTCTGCTTTCTCAAACATTCCACCATTCCCCACTCCTAACACACAGGAGCAAACACATGCACATGACTCACTACCTCTAAGAAGATGGCCTCTGTACTTGTCAAATACTCTGAGGCCCTGGCAAAGAGGAAGTGGCATTTCCCTGGGCAAGGGGAGATAAAAAAGTAACTAGGGATGGCAGAGGGTCTCCCTGCCCACAAGTCCTTCACCAAAACAAACCCAAATTCCCTTTCCTGTATTTCTAGCACCTAAGGCCTATGCATGTGTTCAGATTTTGTATGGATTGGGTTTTTAAACCTTTCTTTTTTTGTTTCACTGAATTAAAATAAACTAAGATATCTCAAAAATACAAATCAGGTTGTGGTGTTTTGACTATGTTCCTGAAGTTGTACTTATGAAATGCATGCAGTTTGTATACTTTAATAAAACGTTTCTGGGTGAAACAAAAAGCTTCATTAGTGTAAGGTTTTCTTCACTGATCTGTGAAATATTCCTAATGAGATGGCCTCTGAGTATGAAGACACAGGAGAACAATAAAGCATATGCAATGCTTCTTGGCCCTGCCTAAAGGTCATGCTATGACTGATTTACATCCACACAGAAGAGATACGACCTCCATTAAGGAAATGAAGACAATGGGCCAAGCCACAAAAT